TATGATTGCCAAATTTGTCTGGCAATTTTGATTGGCAATAATTTGCTAAATCAGCTAAATGACAAACAGGTTTATTTGTTATGCAGAAAAGTTGATGATGATTGCTATAAAAAAAAGGCAGTTACATGTATCTAGGCTCACACTTAATGATAAAGAGAATAGAATTTTGTCCAAATACCATAAGCATTTTACTGAAGAAAATGGAAAGCATTTCATATTAGTAAATTTAGCGTGGTTTCTAGTATCATTTACTCTTCCTGGTCGTAAATGACATTAATGATTCAGTTTTAAATAGAATCGAGTCTTAAAGGTCATTTACAGATCTAAACTTCTTTTTATGATGATAACAAAATTCATGCTGGAGGAGCCAACATTTCATTCCAGTATTGACACTGTAACTGTAATTACAGGGAGAGTGGGGTTTAACAGACAGCGATGAACAGACAGAAGAAAGGAGAAAAGCAGAGTTTCTGAGAAATATCCCAAGTATGAGAGCCCAGGTTAGGGTTCTGGCACAGTCCTACCAGGTCAGTTCTGGAGAAACTTCGTTAAATCCACCTGTAGCCCTTTAGGATTTGTAATATATTGTAAATATATTGTAAATGAAGCAAAGAACAGAGCAAGATGGAAAGTCATTTCACGTCAACCTCAGAAGAGATGGCACGCATGGATGGATGGAGCCCTTCAGGGCACCCAGATTAAGAATTGGTTCTCTTGTTCATTGGTGATAAATATCAAGAAATGGCCAACATAAGCATCTAAGACCCCATTCCCATAGATTTTAGATTGATCTATCCCTGTGGGGAGTCTCACTAGATTACTGTCAGCTTAGCCGGCTTAAGCGTCTGTCCTGCCTACTAAAATCTGAAAGGGGGTAATTAACTGTCGTGCACGCTCAGCTGACTGCAATTTAGCATGAACCCCCAGGGAGTTAGGTCGATCTTAATCTAAATCTCTGGATTGATCTAAATCTCTGGGAGCCAAGTATAGATTTCTGTTTGCTCATAAATTGTAAACATTTGCCTGATGAACAGTTGGTAATTTTTTTGTATTATTTATTTATTTATTTATTTTATTTATTTTATTTTATTTTATTTTATTTTATTTTATTTTATATTATTTTATCTTATTTTATTTATTTATTTATTTTATTTTTATGATATTGTTCTTTGTTTTCACCTTTATGATTATTACTATTTTTATTAATTTATTTATTAATGTATTAATTAATTATTTTATTCCAATTCTTCAGGACATGGTTCAGAAGTTCCTGCTAATGCTTGCTGGTCATGCAGATGTTAGTCTTCGCTTCCTGAGCTTCCGCTTAGACTTCAATGAGTACTACAAAGCAAAAGAGCCCAAACTGCGGAGTCCATTAACCTACCAAAGGAGCAAAAGACGAACATGATTTTGTTTTGTTTGATCATAACTATTCACATTATGAAGTTCTGCACATAGAGTCAATGAGAAATAATGGAGATTCCTGTTCAGTGTGAAAAGAGCAAGAGGAAAGCATGATGAATTATGAGCTGTCCCTCGAATACTTTTTAAAATGTAAACAAAAGCAGCACAATATGCCCGTTTGATTAATCGCCAGATCTGATTGGAGGAAACGGGACACGTTTTCAGTCCCAATTTTTAGAACCAATAACTTTCACTGAACAGATGGCGTTGAAACACAATAACATAGACTTGTGTGTTTTCAGTTAAATTATGAATTTGTTATAGGTTTGCATGCAGTTTTTGTCATAATGTCATATTTTAGCGGATGATTCTTAATGTATAAACTGAGGCCTTGAATCAGAAGTTATTTGCATTAATATTCACTTTGCCAAACAATAAACAAATTCAGACTAATAATGTTTACATTTTCTGAAGCCCCATGTATTCAAAAGGGGCCCTCAAGTGTGTTATCTGGGGTGGCATGGGTTCATGGTATTGACGGTTTTCTTCAAGTATCAGCAATTTATAGTCTATTACGGTGTAGGTTCCATTAGTTGAAATGGGGAGTCGGTCTTCCCTGTAACAGTAATGGTAGTCCGCTAGGGACAGAAGTCCGTTCCCCATTACTTTGTACAGGTGACATTTGTCCCATATACTAACCCCGATACTCCGACAAACCTCAACCTGTACTGATCATATGGGAGTCCGAACTGCCATTCCTAGAACTACCATTCCTGTCACACCGGCATTCGTCCATAAACCCCCAGTCGCAGTAGGTCTATCAGACACACGGCGGTTGTTAAAATCCGTGAAGAATAAAGATATCGATCACCCTTAAAGTCGATGTTTATCTATGGAAATAGTTCGTGTAGGAAGGAATGACTTTTAGTGCTTTTTATGTTCCATTCGACGAATAGAACACCTTTGAAAGCATAGCAAACACGTACTTTAATGATTTAACACGGGGTTGATGATATGGGTTTCTGTCCAAGCATCCATCAGAGATTGTAGGAAAAAGTGATATTTGGTACTGTATTTCACAATGCCAAAGCTAATTCATTTTTAAAACCTTAATGTGTAATTGAAGCACTGAGACTGCTCTTTATTTTCAAGCATTTTCCTTTTGCTCTTTATTTATTTATTTATATATTGCAACGTATTACAGACAGCTGCACGATCTTCCCAAAAGATACAGTAGAATCTTATAATATGCTATTTTGAAAAAAAAATTAAAAACATGTTCGTTATGCATTGATTGTTATAATAAATGCCCCCTTCACACCCTGAAGTTGACATTGGTTTTATTTTCCTGATAAACGACAAGGTGTGTGACGTCATGAAAAGTCTTTTTTTTTTTACTCACCACTGTGGCGCTGTGAGCGATCAATAACATGCAATTATGGCTTGGACTGAGGTCGATATCACTTTCTGAGGTCTTCAAAACAACACTGCCTGAGAGCAAAAATCTTTATTTGTTTTTAATGAATAGTTTAACTCGATACCTTAATGTCAATATCCTGACTAATTGATAACGTCATCAGCACTGATTTGTTTCCTATCGATTGCAAGGTCAAACACTGTCATCGCCTCCTGTCCTGTTCGGTGTTTAATGCACTAGTCAATTTTATGTTTTATCATACCACCCATTCACGGATATCAGATCACAATCCCTGCTAATTATACAATAATGAACATTAATGAAACCCTGATATCGTAGAAAAACTGATTGACGTGTAACAATCCATGTCAATATCTCTGTTTACGTTGTTGCACAATGCAGCCAACGTCAATTAAAATGTAGCATGTCCACACATTTCTTGTCCATGTCATCGCGGTGTTCAAGTCAGTCAATAATTCGCAGCAAAATCTTGATTAAGTGATAACGACAAACAGTTTGGACTACCAAGCTTTTATTCTGGAAATTCACCACACAGGATGACGGTGTTGTAAATCTGCTATGTTTTAAAAGCTTTCCAAGAATTATGAGCAGAGTGAATTGGGGTTTTGGACGCTTGTAGATGTTTGAGCTCTTTTGAGAACTTTGGAGTGTTTTTTCGACACTTTTTGCATTAGAACTTAACTATATTTTAAAGACTTATTAGAAAAGTGCCATACGTTTCACCAACGTAAACTACTCCATCTAACCATGCGACTGCATTTTCATATCGTGCAACTTCTCACTATCCTGACCGCCTGCAAGGAATTGCCGTCTTCATCGGACTGCTCAACGTCGACGACAGGAGGCTCGTCGTACCAAATTGCCTTTTCCGCAGGTGAAAATGAGTCTGTTCTTGACCTAAATGACCTGACGACAGAAGAGAAGTTTGACCTTATACCCTGCCTGGCAAGTTGTAGTCGGGATACCAGGTGTCACTTTGCCACTTTTGATACCCGTAATAAGACGTGCCAAACCATGTGCTCGTTTAATTCTTCACGGACGCCATCAACGGACCAGCACCTACAGGTCTGGCAGAAGGTACTTTTCATTTCCTTCTTTTTGTAAGCCTAGCTCGTGGCATGTCATTTACCATTCAAATATGAAAGAGCGTTTATTATTGTTTCATATTTAAAGGATTAAGCTTTAAGGAAAACCAAAAAAAAAAAAAAAAAAAAATGAGGATTTGGGCTTTTAAAAGTTTTTAAAACTTAAAACTGCCCATGTTATTACAAGGGGTCGGGTTGGATCTTTTGTGGAACATCCATAACTCCCCGCACTCGACTAGCATCATATGACATGCATAGGCCCTATGTAATGTTTGAAACATAGTGTTAAAAGAAAAATCCAAATACAAAGATTACACGTAGTGCCGAGAGATTTTGAAGAGTTCCTATAATACCTTTATCACCATTGTATAAGGGGGGGCAACTTTGATGTCATTAGAATGAGCTTGTGGTCATTTATCGTGAAAAACTTAAAAACACCACATAAAGCAAATGAATGCATTTTATAAAACGTAAAAGGGGGAAATAAGAATATGAATTGGATTTTAAGGACATACAAATACAAAGGCTTTTCCAGGCAAGAAATAATACATTTCGCCTGGCTGAACCAAGCTCCTTTGCTGAAGGACCCAACATTTTTAAAAAAATGATTTGGAACACGCGCTTGCATGAAAAGCTGAAGTTGGCAAAAATTTGTATATAATTTAAAATGTATTTAATTGTTTGTTACATCTATTTCCAGAAAACATGCGATCCGTGTTCCTCGACAGGACGTAAGTACAGTATGTGCATCTGTGTGTGTCTGTGGATGCATCTGTTTGTGTATGAGAGAGAGAGAGAGAGAGAGAGAGAGAGAGAGAGAAGNCTAAAGTGAAATCTACCCTTGTTCCAATCCAAGTTGCCCTCACATGTGAAGTTTCTTATGATACCCTATGAGTGATAAGTACCTGTCTAGGTTTACAAATACCTTGGTATGACTTGATGAGGTTTATCCTCCCCTTGTTCTGTTTTCTAAACATTCCCATTTGCTTTCTCCTTTCCCTGCATGGGGTGACCGCTTGGTGTGTGTTTTATCCTTGCAGAAAACAGGCAATGCAATTCGAGCTCTAGGCCGCATGGCATCATTACAGAAATCCTTGGCCGGGGGCAAGAAAAAGAAGACTGGGGACAGCAAGGACACCGCCAAGGACCGTGTGCAATCGGAGCCTGTCTTGAAAGAGGAGATGAACGGAAATGATGTGGAAAATAACCAGCATGATTTGAAAGGTGTTATTGGATCAAGGCATGCTGTTTCTGTTGACTCAACTCTGCATGGAGCCTCTAACAGAATGACAAAGCATGAGAAAAGTTCAAACAACCATGAGAACAACTCGCTCACAACTACTTCTTATTCTGTTCCCAAAAAGGTGGAAGAAATGGTGAAAAAATCGACTGCAGCTAGAGAAATGGAAGAGGAAGAGGAATTGGGTGTCAGGAAAATGGCTCCCAAGTTTATTAAAGAAATGAGTGACTGCACAGCATTTGTTGGGGACAGTGCAAGATTTGATTGTAAAGTTGTAACTGGGACACGAGAAGCAGATGTTCACTGGTTCAAAGATGGTAAGGAGATTCGTGATGACCCTCATTTTCAGTTTCAAGATGGCAGCCGTGGGGCACATTCTTTGATTATTCGTAATGTGTCTCCCAGTGACAGTGGCGAATATGAGTGTAGGGTTGTCACGGCAACTGGTGAAGCTTCTTCATGTGAGGCTGATCTGAAAGTAAAACAACTTCCAGGATCACGCCATTAAGTTAATTAACCAAGTCAGCTATGTTGCATTGTGTTTTCATGAGTTCTATTATTAGTTACTGGTGACCAAGTTGCTGTCTCCTGTCACCACTTAGGTGGAGAGAGTAGATGGTGATAAAATCCCAGTATCTGGTATATGAATTCATGCTTACATAAATGCCCTACAGTAATAAGGACATCTTTTAAAAATGTAAATATCAACTAAAAAAAATCAGTGGCTTAAACGGTCACTCTTTTTATCTTTTTTACCCTGAAAAGAATCCCAATCATTGTACATCAAAACAGATTTCATGTGGTGTGTATTTATGCCACAATATCAAGATCATGTGGTGTGTAAAAAGGTCTGTTATTGGTGACATTTTATAGGTTGGCTACATTGTCTAACTAAGGTAGTACAATTGGCATGTTGAGGAATTAACTCAAATCCCCATTCTCACAAGCCAGAATGTGACATTATAAATGTAATATCACGACTTTTAGCCAGCCTCCTGTTCTAGAGATGGATGTCATGGCCATATAATGTGCCTTGAGAAAATAAAAAGCAGAAATAAATCGCACATTTGTCATGATGATGAAGTTAAGATAAGAGGAGCAGAGAATATTGTTTTAGTTTCATTTTTTTCTATGCAGTAATAATGCAAAACTAGCAATGCCGTACTATGCAATACAGTTGAAAAAAATATGCAACAATGATAATAAAGATAATAATGTGCTTGTTTAGATTTCATTAAAGCCTTGATAGATTAACCCTTTCTGGACCGACCCTCTCAAAGTGTTTGGAAGGGGTTAATCACAAGGTTAAACTTTTCTCCCCAGGTTACCCTGAGCCTGGGCTGTACAGTGTAAAGTAGAGCTTAGACTAGTTGTATTATACACCATTTGCAGTGCAGGATTTCTCCATAGCCAAATACAGCCTGTAAAGTAGTATGGAAATTTTAAGCATCTATGCTATATTTATAATTTTTCTTTAAGGTATAGAATAAAGCCAGTAGAAATAAAGTGCAAGTATTATATAGATATTAAATATATGGCCTGTAAACATAGATTTGGATAGTGTGATAAGTGGAGGCTGTGACTGCATAATTTGTGTAATTTATTGAACCAAGTGAAAAACAAAAAAGGACATTTTTATCATATTGCTCAAACACACTATACAGGTAATGGTGATAAAGTGAGTTGTGAAACCTGTGTTTAGATGTGTTTTTGAGAAAGGAGAATAACCCCACAGTGACTAGGTTCCTTGAGAAGAATTATTGGAAATTTATTGTGTATTGTTTTATATATTGTACTCAGTTTCTGCAGTGTTACTTGTTGGTAATATTTTGTGCTTTTTATTTACTTTCTAGCTTTACCTGCACTGCATTGCTCTGCATCAAACTGAATCCTTCTTTGGTACTATCAATAAATTATATATATAAAAGTAAAAGGATTGTGTTCTTTTTCTGACTTTTTAACACAGTTTATGTGATTTTCAAAATCTGCCAATGTTATAAAGATCTGAAAATATAAAATACAGTATCTTAACAAAAAGAGAATGAATACTTTGTCCAAAAGGTTGGGCTTTAATTAATTAATATTTACTGTTATTTAAAAAAATTAAATGTTGGGCATCAAGGCAGGAGCAAGTGTTTTGAAAACCACATTCTATGCACAACACTCTTTTCCACAGTTACTAGTGTACACTAGAGACGGGAATTGCTTATCTAAATTCTGACAGTGGTGGGGTTGAATGGCCCATGACGTACTGAAAAATAGAATTCCAGCTAAAATATATATATATATCATCATCATCATCGTCGTCGTCACCAAGAAGTACTATGCACCCTTTATCCACCCCACACCCTATTTTAAAAATTAACTTGGGGGCACTTCTTAACCAGAAAAGACAACCCAGGCACTGTTCTTTCTAACAAATACTAGCACTAATCAGCGCAGATGGCCTTCTGTAAGATAACCTCATCTCAGAGGAAAGAAATTGATAGAACATAGCATCCCCACCCTTTCAAAACAAAAATTACTTACGTTATATGAATAAATAATATAATTTTAGAAATCATAATACGAGTCTGTTACAAAAACGGCACACTTCATTGGATATATTTTACCATATTTTTATGATGCATTCATAGGATATTTAAAAAAATATGAATGCAGGTGACAGGCAACAAGCAATTTTAATCACAATTATAACTGATCACAATGATGCTTTTTGTAACGATGGTATGAAAAATTGAGATGACAAACGTAAGGATTAACTTAAACTCAGAAGTTTTTGACGGAAAATTGGTTAGTTTTTTAAATCAATAATATTAATGTCTCCTCATTAACCCAAGCCGATAAGTAAAGGACAAACACAAATATAGTGTTCGAAATTTGGCCGTTGACGGCCGCTTTTATTGAAAGGTGCCTCTAGTAAAGGAATAGTGTTAGTTATATAGCATTAGATAATGTTAAATAAATTAAAATTAATTAAAAAAAAAATAGTGCACATATTTTGATTATTGGGGTTCCAAAGAGGCCAATATTTAATTTTATTCAAAATGTGCGTCTAGGATGATGAGCAAAAAGGAAGGGGTGCTCTTTTTCCGCCAACCCACCCTCTGTTCTGTTCTTTGAATATTCCTGTCTCTTTTAGACGCACCATTAGCTCATTTTCGTTAATAATTGTCAGTAAGTATTAGTTTTGGGGAATTAATGTGATTAAATTATTCCACTTTCTTCATATATTCACCTCCACAGGAGTTAAGTTACTGTTATCCAGACTGATTTCAAATCAAAATCTTAGACACGTGTCATTTATAACCAAGCTTCTCATTGTCACCGGTTGGTTTGCGTTCTTTATTCCGTGAAAAAGTATGAGGATCTTCCGACTGAGCAGAGAGTATATAGTATTTGTAGTCATCCCTCTTTCCTTCACTGCTACTTTTTTTACTACACACACTTAAAAGTTGCTTCCTACACTACTGTTTTATAATCATTCTGGTTCATAAAAGTAAATGGAAAACATAATATAAACTCCCTGGTTCCATTCAGCAGCATGTATAAGAAATATTAAGGCCACTAAAAGCACATTCAGCAGCACCATGTAAGGATGTGCACATCCAGGCACAATTGTTGATTGTGTCCGTTGCTTTGAATTCTGGAGTTCCAAAGAACTGTAGGTGTCAAATATCCCGAGACCCCCCCCCCCCTTC